AAAAAAAAAAAAAAAAAAAAACGGCACTATCCCGGCCACTAGGTTTCTCCAGCTAGCATCCGAAGGACATTTCCGCTGCTTGCTGCCGCATGGCAGAAAAAAGTGCCAATTCAGTAAGGGGCTTCTGGTTGGATGGGTTGAGCGCTGTTTCATGGACTTGCCAGGAGGTCATGTTCTTCCGAACTTAAATGTAACCTCGGGGGTAATTAGGTGCATCTCCTGCTTCTCTGGGTTTTAGGCGCTCTGGGGGAGGTTGTGGGCTTGAGGAGTTTTGGTGTGTGGGCTATGCGGCATGTTAACCCATTAGCGGTTTCCTGCTAGAGGTTTGGCTGCCTCGAACTGCTCGCCTGAGCTCAAGAACTGCTGGAGCTTGGTTGCTGAAGCCTTAGCCCATCCCCCCGAAACCCTGTCTAACTCACCCCAGCCCATCGCCGCCTTGCGAAAGCTCTGCACGGCCTTGAACACCCAACTTAGGATATCGGTATCGGCCAACCCGAACCATGAGATGAAGCACGCACCTTCCATTTACCCCCAGACCCCAGAGCCCTGAACCTCAAACTATCCCCAAGTCAGAAACCCTCATCCGGAAACCGAGCCTCTACGTCAACAAGCAGCCGGCCAGTGCTCAAGCCATGGGCAAGAAGGCCGCTGCCAAGGCCAAAGCCGCGGCTTCACGGCCGGGTTCTGGGAAGGCCAGCCGCGCAAACGCAGTAGATACTGGAGCTACATGTCCCGACCTGGCGGTTCGAACTAGCACAAGCCTCTCAGCCCTTGATCCCTGCATCCCGAATTAGACCCAGGCTGCGCAAGCCCTCCGCAAGTCTCAGGCCAGAGGGTAAACATCCCCAAACATCACTGGACCTCTCGAGAAAAGAGACACCCGTCCAAGAATCCATCGCATCCTGACAAAGCCAACCGCACACACACACACACAGACACGCACACATAGAGATATAGCTCCTTGAACGGCCTCAAATTGGCATGGAACGCCAAAGTTGAGGTGTTCAGTTCCGGGCGTCCTTTGTAAAAACGCTTTGTAAAAACGCCATGAAAGCCTCATTGCCCCGACACTTCTTGATCCCAAGACTTCCGGGAATGTATAGAAGAACCCTACTGTACACAAGTTCAGACCCCTTTCTGATGTCTCTTCGCCAAATTAAACTGAACGATCTGAACCCCTAATGCCCCAAACAAGGCATGGCCTCCAAAGCGGAACCAAAAGTCGAAGGGCTCTCACCTCAGTCCTGTGGCCCGCGGGGTGCTGCTTTCTGAATCGTCGGGCGTCGAAGGGTTTCGGGTGTCGTGGGAGCTTTCGGGCTTCAAAAAGGTGTGGAGGTCTTCGATGTGTACCTTCACAGTGAAATCTCAAAACTCGACGAAGCTCTGACGGACCGAAGCCATGCCTGCCTCTTTGCGAGTGGTAAAGCCCCGAAGCCCCAAACCCTGAAGCGCCATGACATGGTGCTCCCAAGGAATCGAGGAATCCCTCTCTCAAAACCTCTCTGCTTCGGTGTAGGGCGGGAAATAAAACGGCTCTTGAGTTCCAACCAAGCCCGAGGCAAGTACACGGCCGAGGACTACCAGGATCTGGTCCCGGGCCCCGGGAGGTTCAGAGTTCAGGGCAGGGTTCTTCAGGTTGCTTAAGATTTCACTTGAATGTCGCAGGAATGTTGCGAAGGCTTTGGCGATTTTTGCCAGCTGACACCCGAGGCTTGTTGGATCAATCCAGAAACACGCTTTTTGGACGTGAGTTTTGATGTGAGTTTACTTGTTTGTGGTTGTCTCTTTGCCACTCTCAGTTCCCTCTTCCGTCGTGTCTACTTGCACGTTGGATACTGTACATGTTAGGATCCTTCATCATGCAAATTTATGCCGCACCCACCTTGACGGAAGAATCCCGAGGCTAGAAACCGCAAGCCTTTCATCCACCCCAACCTCCGTCCCGAACAGATGAGGTTCTTTTCTTTGTCATCCAGTTGACATTCCCGTTTCGGAACCATGCTGTTCTGCATAAGAACATCCTCAAATCTGCACAAAGCCCCCTGAGCACAAGGTCAAACAGCTGCAGCCCCTCAACCTGCGCGTGCTTTGGCGTCAATTATCAGCGGATGCCTCACAGAGGATCCATCAGATCCCTGTAGGCCCTATGGCCTTAAAGCGCAGCTGAAAACCCGAATCCCAAAACTCGTACCCCAGACGTCTTACAGCTTGGTGCACTGGTTTTGGGTTCAGCCCGTAGGGTTTTGGGGTCTGGGATTTCGGAGCTTGGGGGCTAGATTGCAAGAAACGGTCATGGAATCTGCTTGGCAGCGACACCTAGGCCCTCCGAATCCTACACCCCGACCTGCAGTCGCAATCCAACACACCGCCATGAACCCAACATCGTGCGGACTGAGCCTTTCTGGAGTCCCTGTGAAACCACATCCCCAGTGTACCTGGTTGTTCTTGTTGGAAGCCTTGCTGGAATAGAAACTTTCTTTTAGGCATGGATCTTGAGAAGAGATAGCACCGAAAACACTCTGCAACACTCCAGGCACCTACGCCTTCAACCCGAAGCTTGAGGATCCAGTCTTGTGCGAGCCGTGAGACTTAAGTAAACCTCAAGGAATCCTTGTTCTTCCTTGGGGACCAAATGGCCCTTATAAGTAGGGGCCCTATACCCTTATACTATGAACCCCTATATGGTATATGAACCTGAAAACCTTTTGGGGTTCATTTCGTCCTTAAGGCTAAACCCTAAACCCTAAACCCTAAACCCTTAACCCTAAACCCTAAACCCTAAACCCTAAACCCTAAACCCTAAACCCTAAACCCTAAACCCTAAACCGAAAGCTCCTGAGACTCCTAGCCCTCCGAGGTCGTGAAGATGGAGCCCGACGGCAACTGCCTTTTCAGGGCCATCGCCGACCAGCTGTGTCCCTGGGTGCCAACCGAAGGCTTCAGGATTTCAACGGCTCTGTTTCTTCGTGACTCCTACACCCTAAACCCTAAACCCTGAACCCTAAACCCTGAACCTAAACCCTAAACCCTAAACCCTAAACCCTAAACCTAAGCCCTAAACCGTGACTCCTACTATTTTCCACTCTGTTACTCGGACCTGAGGCTTGGGAGGCTCACGGGTTTTTCGGAAGGGCTGCGAGCTGTTTTGTTCTCTGGGGTGCTGAACATCAGCAGGGCTTGTGGTTTAGGGTTTAGGGTTTAGGGTTGAGGGTTTAGGGTTTAGGGTTTAGGGACATCAGCAGGGCTTGTGGTTTAGAGTTGCTGTTCGTTTTTTTTGGTAGGGTCAGGTTTGTTTGGGTCCGTGTCAGCTCCCCGAATCACTTGAGCAAGACTTGCTTTTGTTGTGTTGCTGCTTATGCGGAGCTGAATCCCTACGTCGGAACATGAACTTCTGTCGTGTGCGGCGGCATTGTGCTTGCATGAAGCATCCGAGGTGGAGACCCAGAAGAGCACAACCACTACAGAGAGACTCGGCTTCCGACCGCCACCCTCGAACCTCGCACTAGCTTCCGAAATCGACATGGATTGGGCCCCTCAACTGACACTCGCTCGGTTTATGCAAGATTAGCAGGCATTGGCCTAGGTCTTGTAAAGCTGAGACCTTAGATGCGCACAAGCGAGCCGGCTCAGTTTTGTACCGATGACGGTTCTTGAACTCGCTATCTAACGATGGGTTTGGGGCATCAGGCGGCCTCTTTGAGCCTGGGAGCTTTGTAGCTTAGGACATGTGTTGCAACCACATGATCGAGAATGCAGATGAGCGCCTCGCTCTGCAGACAAGCAGCTCAGGGCCTCAGTTGCGGTGTGCTCTCCGCTGTTTCTACCGTGTTCTTAAGGGCGCACAGGGTTTCGCAAGCGTTCGCTAGGGTTTTAGAAGGGCTCTTAGAAGCGATAAGGGCTTCAGAGGGGTTTCTAGGTTCTGGTTGATGCCACCTTCTTCAGTGCAGCTCAGGATCCGAGGTCTCTCTTCGCATCAGCAGGGGATCTTCTAAAGCTTTCAGTGGGGCTGTTTAGGGTTCAGGGTTTAGGGTTTAGGGCTCTTAGAACGGGTCTTGTAGAGCTTACGAAGCTCCACGTCGAACCTCTTAACCCAGAAAGCCCGAAGCCCAAGGCTTCAGTCGTACATGGTACTCTGCACCAATAATATGCCCCCATGTAATCATTACGGTTTCAGGTTTTAGGGTTTTTAGGATTTTAGGGTTTTAGGGTTATGTTCTTAAGGTCCTCGCCCGCACCGCAGTCTAATCATTATGGGCCCTTTCTCGATCCCTGAATCTGCCAGGTTCTCGCTCTTCTATGCAGACGAGGAGCACGCGAAGTTCTGCCAGATCTCCCAAAAGTGCTGTGAGCGAAATCGGAGCCCCCAGCAAACGCGAAGTGCGCGAAGTGCAAATGTCCTGAAGCCTTAGATAAGCCAGCCTTAGAGCATCAGAAGCTTCAAGCCCAGAAATTTGTTGACTTCCGGCTTCGAATTAAAGATTTCAAGGCTTGGGGTGCAAGATTTGGTGATTTAAAAAAAGTTTCAGGGTTTGGAGGACTTCGAGACCACCTGCGACTGCTTTGGTGCCTACGTGGAGCGCATGCGGAGCCCAGGCGTCCAGACAGAAGGTCTTGCTCCTTTAGATGTCAGTTGGCCTCGGCGTTCTTATGGCTCTGAACCTTTTCACCACAAGCCCCTAAACCCGGCAACCCATAGATGGAACATGATGGCACAAAAAGCCCATGAACCCCCAACCCCAAACCCCTAAACCCTAAACCCTAACATCACCGGCGGCAAGAAAAAGCCAGGCAACTGGGGATCGCAACTGGAGCTCATGGCCATCTGCCAGACTTTCGGGGTGTCCCCGTGCTTGCATGTGGTCTGAGCTGCTCTTCCGGCTTTCCGGGGTTCCAAGTGTTTTGGTTCTCTATAAATCTAACACTACGTACTAATGATATAGTATGATTACAGCATTCTGACAGTATATAACTCCATAATTTAGGATTACATAATAATGACATAGTCTTGTTACGGCACTATTAGGGTATTTTGTAGTATCGGATTTCGGCCTCGAGGCCAGGGGCCGTCGATGCCTGTCTTGACGAAGCCCCAACCTCGAATGCCTCTGCGACCCAAGGACTTAGGAACGTCATCGTCCTAATTGAGATGGATGGTAAATAATATGGTTCCTATTATAGTAACGGGAACGTCATCGTCTTAATAGGGATCTATAGTAAATAATATGGTTCCTTGATATCGTACCTAACAAGGGATCTATGGTAAATAATATGGTTCCTATTATGGTAACCTAATTCAAGCTCCTTAACAAGAACCCAGCCAAGGAACGTCATCGTCCACCAGGTCGGTTCGCCTTCCTACGACTCTCGTTTGGCAGAGAAAAGTCTTTTGTAAGTGCTGCGAGAAGGATTTGGGGTCCAGAGTTTTTGGTGGGGTTCAGTCAGTTCGTTACGGTTAAGTAGGGGTTTGGGGTTTAGGTTGAAGTAAGAGTTCGAAGTAAGACGAGGACTTAGGGTGTTTTAGGGTTAAGTATGGGTCTAGGTCTACGTGTTCAGGGTCAACACTGGGAGATGAAAAGATGAAACTCCCCAGCCGCAGAGAGGAAATGGAGTTTAGCCCGGCAGATGCTCGCTGCCTTCAGCTGTCCTACCATGATGCTTGGCTGTCTATTCCTTGGTTTGGGTTTAGGGGTTAGGGGTTTAGGGTTTATTAGTTAGGAGTTGGAAGCAGCCTACATCCCCCCCCCCCCTGCGGCGAATCTTACAGCCTCGCCGGGAGTGTCCAAGCTGCGAGAGTCCAAACACTAAAACCCTCGAGTTGTGAGAGCATAAACCCTAAGCCCCTTCATGTCATTTATGATATTTTTTGGTTTATTGCGGAATTGATTACTTGAAAAATACACCGGTTAAAAAAAATATGATGCGGAGGCCAAGAAGTGTTACCGGTCGAAGGGGTTGAAGCTTCAGTCAAGGATGGAGAGCACTACAACAGCGTCCGGCACCGTGGCTTCAAGGGATCTTCGTGGAAAGGTTGAGGGGTGCAGGCCCTTTGGCATTAGGTTTTGGACACTGCCACTTTTCCTTGGTAGGTAGCGTAACCCCTAAACCTTAAGCTTCTAAACCCTCAACATTGTTGTGATGGTCCAAGGTTTTCCGTTTAGATTTTAGGGTCTCGGGCTCGGGTTTCGGGCTCTTAGAAAGATTCCCTGCACCGTTCAACCGGCGCGGAGGTGTCAAGTAGTGTGCGCCTACCGTCTTCAAACACCCAGGCTTCCTGGAACCCCCAGCTCCAAATACATCCTGGACCCTAGCAGTTCCGAAGGCTCAAAACCCCAAGAGTCCCACAAGAATAAAGCAATCAGTACAAACATGTACAAACCCACAAAAGCCAAAGACAAAAACCACCAAACCCGATCATCTCTTACCACCAAAGCCGTCAGCTTTCCCATCCCAACTCGAACATCTCAAAGCCCAAATCCCCACAGCAAGCCCTGTATAATCTCTACACCTAGAATGACCTGGAAGCCTGAATCCTAAGCCCTGTGGTGAGCGCCAAAAGTCGAAACCCTAAAGCCCTGGATCAGCCAGGTTTGAATGGGATCTCTGTCCTGGCAAGCCGGTCAGCTTCCTTTCTCTGCAGCAGCTGAAGACCCTTTCTTTCATCGTACGCCATTTTTGCGTGCGCTTTTCTGGTGTAAGTTTAGGCTTGGGGTCTGAATTTGCAGGGTCGGTTTCGGCTGTCTAGGAGTCTAGGTGCGAGCCGGTTGAGGCACTTTTGTTTGCTTGATTGCTGCTCTAGAACCCAACGAAGGATGAAGGACAGCGACGTCGTCGCGCTGCTGGAAGAGGCGGCAGAATCTTGTGAGCCCCGTAGGCCCAATACACCCAAACCTGAATCCGCCGGACTGTGCTATCGGGCAGAAGGCCTTTAACGTCAAACCCTGCAAAACTCTGCAGTGGTCAAAATCCCACTTTCAGCGGCTAAAAACCAAGCCAGTGATTCAGCAGTTTTCACAGAAAGCTTGCGAAGGTGGTTTGGGCGGTGGCTTGTGGAGCTCACAGTGGAATAGCCGGGTTGCACTCCTTCAGCACGGCTTGCACTCACACCTGCCCACTCCCTCAAACGGCCGCTGCGACAAGAGACGACCGAAACATGCCGTTGCACCGGCATGTATAAATTCGCAGGCAAACCTTGTGCTTCTCATGAACGAAGCCCCCAGCCCCATCACAAATCTCGAAGTTTCAAACTCACTTAGCCCCCCTGAGAGATACTGTGAGAGAAGCAAATCAGTCGTTTCCGAGGTTAAGATGAAGTCCAGGAAACGTTTGCATGGGGGGCTACTGCGATGGGAGAAATCACTTCAGGTACGAGTCGGACTACCACTACCATTGCAAAGAGCTAGCTTTCGGTAGGTCCACCATTGTCACGTGCGGACTCACATTGCCATTGTTGAATTCTCGCTTGCAGCTCTTGGTGTTGTTGGAGTTGGGCCCATCTTCTGAGAGGTGAAGTACAGCTTGCCTCCCAACCACGGCTTCGAGGAAGCAACACTTCGCTCGACGCTGCTGCAGTCCAAGGACTGTTGGCTGCTGTTGGTATGAGGCGAACAGTGAAGATGATGAAGAAACGAGTGTTGGCGGTGGTCGTGCTGATGGTGATAAGGCTTGTGACAGCTTGTGGCATGTCCAACAGATGAATCTATGCATCCTCGTGATGGTGGTGGTAGTGCAGCAGCTGCTGCTGCGGCTGCTCGCCGGCGGCATCGGTGGCGTTTATGGCCTTTCAACCAGCGAGCCAGAAGCTTTGAAGCTTCGATCCCCTCCGTTCCGCAAGCCTCGAAGCCAAAAACATCCAAAGCTCTAGTCGAGGCCTAAGCCTCCCAGCCCACGAAGGACAACAAGATGTGCAGCACTAACAAGAGACAGAGCAACGATGATCATGATAGAAGTGGTCGTATGCCGAAGAACTTTACAGTGAAGGCATCGCAATGCTATGCCAAAATCCCGATAGTAAGTTGCAGTACGACGCCGGGGCAGCTGTGGAACTGTTGCTCAACAAACTGGCGGGCGTTGCAGAGACACTCTCTGCTCCAGCCACATGGATGCATGTATGGCAAGGGCTTGGAATGTTGTTGATTTGCGTTTGAAGTCGTATGTTTATTTCTGAAACGGACTTTGGGCTGGTGCTTGGGGTTTGACTTAGAGCATGGACGCACTTAGCTTATAGTATGGTTGTTGCAAATGTCTTGAACCTTGCCGAGTTGTTTTATCATTAATAGTCGATGCAGGTGCCGTTTAGGATTGTCATCAGCACTTGGTGTTATTGCTGCCTGCTCGCGCAGCACCCCACACGCCCTTCACCCCGTAAAAGCAGCAAGAACCTTAGCCCTTTTTATCCGAGACCCCGCGTGCTAAAGCTCCCTCAATCCCAGGTGGAGTCGAAGGAGGCCGCAGCCGCTGCACTCGAGCAGGGGCCGTCGGATGCCACCCCAGCGGCAGCCACCCAGGACACCTTAAAGTTAAAAAGCAATACTAGGGACATTTTACATTTCCCTTATAGGGCCCAAGAAGATCATATTCAATAGTATTTTGCTTGCAAGGGCCCACCTAGAATAGCTGCGTGATGTGTATGGTGCTGAAAGGTCTACAGAGTCCGCGAGGGCAGACTGTGAGGCCGAATATCGAGTCCCAGGCTAGTCTGCTTTTTGCGCGTCAAAAACAGTGTAGTTGATCTCTCTCTCAGGAGAAGCCGTTGCTTGAGGACGGTCAGATTCCTTCTTGTACCTCAAGCCTTCCTTGGCGTTTGTTTTTTTCATTACACGCAACGGCGTCTCTTTTCTTGGGGTTCTAGGGATCTCAGGTCTAACCTGAAGCCGAAGTTTAGACTCAGACTCCCAAACCCCGATAAATCCCTGAAAGCAAGAGGAAACCGTACATAAAGCGTTCGCAAACCCTAAAGAAGCCCGAGAACGCCGTGTGACCATCCCTAAACCCAAAACCTTAGACACTTATGGCCATGCCTGCCTTTGCGAGTGTGTGAGTCGAAACCCTAAACCCTAATCCCTAAGCCCTAAACTGCGAGAGGGAAAAGCCCTAAACCCTAAACCTATGACTGTGACAAAACTGAAGCCCTGGCAGAAGGAGGGCACTGAGACGGCTCCCGCTGTGCCCTCCAAGGGCCCAGAAAAGCGGGCCAAGGTCCAGCAGACATTTTTGTTGCATTTTCAGTTGGGGACTAAGGGGTTTAGGAAAGTGTTTTCCGCACAGGTTTCGTAGGTTGAGGGCTTTAGGGTTGGGTTTCAGGGTTAAGAGCTGTTCCGCATCGGTGGAGGTTGAGGGGGCAGGGGCCTGCGACCCATGTCGTAAGAACGGCTTCGGATTCAGGGCTCTATGTTTCAGACATTTTCGGTTGGAGAGCTGAAGTGCCTTTTGTTTTAGGGCTTCATGGCTTTGGGGTCATTTGTGCTGGCACTCATCAAGTCCAGTGCTTCAAAGAAAAATGGCTTTGGGGTATCGGTTTCGGGATGGGCAGGCTTCGAGATGTCATCGCTCCGGGGTTTCGGACCCAGTTCCCACGGGTTGCTTTAACATTCGCCTTCAGGTTGCAAAAATAAGACGCCTGCATGAGTACCATCTTTATCCCTCAATATATTCATACTAGACTCTACTCTACCCCCAAAACCCCATACCAGTCAGCAAGCCCCTATACCAACCCCAGGATGCTCTATAGCCCCCTATAGTCCTAGAGCCTTTGATAGATGTTCCTATTTCGACCAACCCCAGGATGCTCTATAGCCCCTATAGCCCCTATCGAGCCCTTTCAGACGTTCCTATTTTGTGTTGGCCAGAAAGCCAACCCCAGGATGCTCTATAGCCCCTATCCGCCCCTTTCAGACCCCCCTCCCCGTTTTGTTTTGGCCAGAAACCCCTAAGATGCTCTCTATAGCCCCTATAGAGCCCTTTCAGATCTTCCTATTTTGTGTTGGC